GTAATACTGGTACAGTATTTATTTATTTATTATAAATTTGGCATGCAATATAAACCAGATGCTGCAATATAAACCAGATGCGCAAAAAACAAAAACTTAAGTGTGTGGCATTTCAGTATATCTTCAGAAAAAAAAAACACTAGATAAATCATTTTAATTTAATTCTTTTGAAATATTTTGCTTCAGAGCTCTGAGCATCGCCACCTTCTGCTAACCATGGATTGGACATGTCCATTTCATCATGTCCACACAGATGGAACAGTTTGCATCACATCCATTGGAGCCAGTCATTTGCTCCTATTGAGAAATAAGTATACAGTAATTACTATAATGCAAAACCAGGTTTGTTAAAAAATAAAAAATGTTATCAAACATTGGCATTTGCTGCTTTATCAATAACATACCATACTGAGATACTGTATATTTTATTTGAATTCCACATTTCAACAACAGCTGAAAGTTAGGTTTGGAGTAACATATGCATCATGTTATTGAGGCGTTATTGTTGTGTAGCCTAGCATCTAGGCCTACAATATATCAATAATAATCTTATTGTTACAGGAATTGGTGTTGGCTCTGATGATATATTGTAGTGTTATAGCACATCACCTTTATTTAGACAGTGCAGTTTTTAGACATATTAGGCCTAGGCTATTATGAAAAAATATGCACTAGCACAATTAATGTGACAAAGTTGCCATGGCATGACAAGTCTAGGCTAGTAGTAGAAACCTACTAACTCACCTGCTGCGGGACTGGAGCAGTGTCCCGGTCAGGAGTGCGCTACTTAGCTGCTGGGTAGACACTGACTGTGCTTCCTGGGCATAGGCCTAATTATAAACAAACAAGTCATCGGACTGATATACGTTTATTAATTCAATTGAATTATTCCTCCATGATTGAATTGACGTTGACAAAACCGTCTCTCTGTAACTGCGTACGTAAACGATCACAAAAACTCACGACTTCACACTACTGAATATATTGTCTAGGCTAGTTGCTCGATCGTCGGGACGATTTTTCGATCAGCTGCTCGCCAAAAATTACTGGTCTTGAATATTAATGAGTTGTTTAGAAAATGCTACCAAGCTACTGAAAAAAGTGATCAGCCTCGTTTTCACCTGATTTTCCTGTCTTTATCATATCATGTTTTGTTTCTGTAATTATCGTTACATCTCAACATTTTAAATTTTTTAAGTATTTTTCCCGAACTCAGGAAAGGTTAAATAAGCAATATATGGTCACTTGTCTCATC